TATCATGTTAAATCACATTTTTTTAAAGTTTTATATCATGTTATAATGTTATCCTCTCATCAAAAACATACCCAGAGTGTTGCTTTGACTCATTCATACATGTTCGTGAAATCCTGTGAAATCCTGGAGTGTCCCGAGCCAGCCGGGCAGGAGAGGAAAAACAGCTGGTTGGCCCTACAACCACCTTCTTGGTGCAGCTCCTCCTCTGGGCTGAGTCTCCAAGCCCAGCTTCTGCATCACAGAGCATGCCTCCCCCGCACCTGACCAGATTTTACTTAGTTGTTCCTACTTAAAGGCAGGAAAACTGTCTGTTTTCCCACTTTGCTGCTATACAATTAGCAGAAAATGAACTTTTGCAGATTTGTGTCATATAATGAGCGCAATGAACATCCTTACGGCTTAAAAAGTGATAAATATAAATATTTGCCAGCTTTAATTAGTTTTAAAAAGTCTTTAAAGAGATTCTTTTCCTCCACAGGTGTAAGTCCCTTTGTCTTCCCTCCATTTTTGCTGGAACACCCTGTCACTGGGAATTTTATTCATATTTTCAGGCAAAACTGCTCCATCTCATTCAAACTAGAAGGATTCTTTCTTGTGTACATCAAACTTTAATTCCCACCCTAAATCAGTCAGATTCCTTTTAAATAGACCTATTTTCTTCTCAAACTTCCCAGTTGTTGCTTTAAAGTTCGTTGTCATGCTGAACCTAAATCTCAGTACAAATTTTCTTAATGAGAAAAGTTTGACTAAATAGCAGGCTTTCTCTTACCCACATAGAAGGAAAAATATGGCATCATGTTTGTTTGACTGTGCGTATTGTGTTTTCATACATGTTGACCCAGTTTCACAAGTGTTAAACTTCAATACACACATTTTAGTGTCAACCTCTGCATGATTTGGAACTCTTTCAGATTCTTTGTTTTTTAGGTAAACTGTTCTAAACCTTGAAATTCCTGTCTCCAGATATATGAAAGCAAAGCTTTTCTTTTTTTCTCTCTCTGTTGTTCAGAGAATTGAGTTTTAGTGAGAAAAAAACACTTTTATAAAAAAATTCATGGTAAAAAATTTCAATTAGTGGATCCATGAGGACCGTTATTTTGTGTAAACCTTATTTTATTTTCACATCTGCTTCATTTTAATCTTGTTACCATCAAACTTTGATCATTTGCTGAAATAGTTCATAACTGAAAATAAACTGTAAAGTATTCTTATAAACACTGATAAGTACTATGTGCACAAAAGACTAAAGGTGAAAATAGTAATACAAAAATACTAATAAAAGTAAAAGTAAGTCAGTTTTACAGGTGAGCTGTGGTGGGTAGCTGCCACTTTTAATTCTGAACTCTCCCAATGTCCCACTGGGAAAGTGTTCAAATTTAAATTTACAACCTGTAAGTGGGAAACTCCCACTTCTTAGTAAAATTGAGCTGAAGCAAAAGAAGCCTGTGAAAATGCAGCTAAACTGAGATTATAAACGACAAATTTTGCTGGCCTCCAGCTTTTCGTTTGAATCCTCTGCACCTCCACCAAGTGGTGAGATACCGTAATTTTGCAGGTAAAATAATCAGCATGTATTATGAGAGCTGTAGTTTTTGGTCAATGCTGATTTTAAAGCAGCATACACTCATTTTAAGACATTAATACATTTTTGAAGCTCTCACAGGCCACATAAAATGCTGTGGCAGACCACATTTGGCCCATGGGCCTTCAGTTTGATATGTGCTCTGTGCTTTGATAGGTATATGTCATTAATGTGGATGTTTTTGACATCTACTTCTGCAGCATCAAATTTCAGTTTTATTTATAATAATGTAGGATTTTTTTATTAAACAGAAAAAAATATCTGTTTCAAAAATATTCCGAGTAGTGTTTGAGACTGGGTGTTTTGGGGAATAAACACTTTAATCACTGGGAATTTCTGAAGCTTCGACAGGGTTGTTTTCAGTTTCTGTTACCTCACATATTATTATRCTTTATGATGACAAATTAGTTTTGTGATTTAATAGGGCCTTAAATGATATTTAGAGTTTTGCTGTTTGTTTAAAATACAAATCATATATAT